TCGTGGAGAAGGTAAAATTCATAATTTGTAGAAACGAAACACGTGTTTGCGAGATCGAGGCCAATTGACTTCCTTCCAGGATACGAGGTTCTCAACTGAGAAGATTTCTGGGTTCTAACGCCGTGTAGTCTGGTAAAATCCTGTAACGTTTCAGAGGCGACTTCCCGACACGGGATTAAGTATTATCACGCTGAGCTATACCAATTACTCGTCGGATAAACGCATATTCGACCCAGAGGCCGTTCTTCTATCGTGCATATTTTCAGAGCTGTAGGAACCGCCGTCAAAGGGACTGGGAAGTCAGGATCATTGTGTGTGTACACAAGACGAAATGCGTGGGAATTTCCTAGATTCTATCCGGATATATTTTGCTGCAAGCTCTGAGTTCTGTTGAGCGCAGTCTCCCTCTAGGCCAGCCTCTTAGTGCCCCGAGCGGGCGTACGGTTACGTAGTTACACGTCATATGGAACTGGCCCGATGAAGCAGAGCGCGCTTGTCGTAACAGATCTTTGGGTGTTGCAAAGTGCCTTTCTGACCATCGAGGTTTCGATGTGTGCTGGTGTTCGCAGACATTGTGTTCACTCGAAGCTGGTCTGCGGCGTGGCTGGACCCCGACAACTGGAAGACAGAGGGGCAGTCCGCCACCCAGCCCGTGCCCCATCTGGAACGCATCCCTTGCGCCCATGATCGCATCGTCTTCCCGGAGGGCAGTAGTTTCCGGGTGCGTCTGCCGGAGGTGACGGTCATCGTCGGAAAAATCTCCCTGCTCGGACAGGTGCTGCCACCCGCCTAATACCCGTGTGTAATTGTCGCATGGAGATCCCGGGAGAGCTGACGACTTCAAACGCCTATGGACTCATCGGCAATGCACTGCTGTTGCAGGACATGGCTCCGAACGAGTGGGAGGACGCCCTGTTGACGGAGCCCGGTGAACGCCAGTTCGTGACTGGGGAAGGCGACTTCACGCGGACAAGTTCTGTCGTGATTACGGGTCAGGAGCGGTGTTCCGACAAAACGGGGTGCTCCTGCGAAGGCCATTCCGAGCTGCGGGCCGCCGTGTGCAGATACACCAGGAACAACAATGGCGACTGCTACGACTCCAGCAGGAAGACGACGTGCGTCGCCCCAGTCCAGCCTCTTGGACACTGCTGCGCCTTCTGCGGTTAGTATGACGATCAAATCGCGCAGCGGTAAAAGACCGGAAACGAACGGAATTGGTAAAGTTACCAGTGAGGCTTGCGCGGAAGGTTCACTGCTAGTGTGAATCGTGTTTCTGGGCGATGTCGTCTGCAGGCTCAGGTCAAAGTGACCGACTATCGGCCCCGTCAGAGCCAATCAGTGTAGTACAATATATGTCGGCAGACGCACTTCACTCTGAAGACGGAGACAGAAGTACCCCCGAAACATCAAAACAATACAGCCTACATGCACACAGCATCATCGCCAAGAAACAAAAACCGCGCAGATTTTTATCAAAATCGTGCAAACGATGTCGTTAAACGCTTACGAGCTTTTGCCGCGGCCTGAGAAATGAATGTTGCAGGGGCCTACTTGCTGCTGGAGTACTCCGCCTCAAAGGTGGAACTGGGGCGCTTGCATTCCCTGCTCGAGTCCTATCTCAGGCAGGACAGGTACTCCAGCATCGCGGCTCACGTCGGCAAGCCCGCCATGGTGGAAGACGCTCCTCGAAATCGGCTGCAGATCGTTCTGGCCGACGCGGGAGTCTACCGGGGCGACTGTGGCGACCTGGCAGACACCTTGGCCGCAGAACTGAGAAACAGTAAGTTGAAAAATGCCATCGAGGCACCTTCTTTCTGCTTCTGTCTTTTGGGAAGTGCCGGCCTGCAACGACGCTGAGGACAGACCCACAGCTACGTACCGGATGCTCTGCGTGGTGACTCCTGGGGACTTGCTAAATTTGACAATAACGGGGCTGAAGAACGAAATACTTTGTTGTGATGAACGTAAAAAGCAAATTATTGTAACTTGACACTTGGAGCTTGTAGAATGGCAAACCCTGACACCAGGGGAGGAGCCAAAAACAAAGAGACGTAAGTTTTTGCTTCGCTGCAGAATCGATAGGACCCCTTCAATTAATCCTTACAGATGACCACTTCGGGGTGTCTGGCGTCACCGTCTATGCGTCCGGAGAGCCTCTGCGTGCGTCCACGTGGGCCAGCGTATTCGGCACGCTGCTAGGGACACTGGCCGCTGCGCTCATCGTCCTGGGACTGATCTTCTTCGTCTTTACCAATTACCGCCCAAATGGGTGAGGCATTTAGTTTGTAACACACTGACTGAAATGAACTGGTCCGATAGAACACAGGCCACGTCAAGAAATTCTCAGTGTTCACAAAACCCCATCAATAATGTCTACCATGAGCCAGCTCAATCCACTCCATCCCTCACGTGTTTTTCACTACAGGCCCGTGCAGTATTGCCAACCTAACTCTAGCCTTTACGTCTTAAGAAGATAGTTAAGTAGCAGGAAGGAAGTGGCTCAGTGCGGTTAATACCAAAAACTAATCCTGCTGTTTCACGACGATACTACAGGTGGGTGCTACAAGCTCACCCCATCCTCTTCGCTCGATTCGAGAACGCGCTCAGCGAGAGCGAGGAGGCGGTGGAGAGTCGAGTGGAGATGATGCCGGCAGAGCGCAGCACCGGTCACCAGGCGTCGGCCGCCTTCGACAACCCCATGTATGGAAAAACAAAGGTGAGGACGGGGCGGGCGCCTTACTTAGACGTGGACTGCAGGCACACATTCGAAAAACTGAATCTGCTACTTCCACGCCAACTCCGAGTTCGGGATGGCGAAGAATCTAACAAACAGAGACGACTTGCAAATCGAATTGAATGTTGCAGGCGGAAGAGGGAGAAAAAGCTGTTCCTCCTCGTGGGGAACCTGGCAAGCAAGAGGCACACGACAACCCGGTGTACAGCGAGTTGCTGCTGAAGGACGAGCCCCAGGAAGGCGCATCAGATGTGCAGGTCACATAGACGGCGACTTACGCCTGGCACAGCTTCTGCACAATTTATTAGGACGTACTTGGACACTCTGGTAACTCCGAACAGTGTTTTGGAGAGGCTTTTCAATCATTTTGCTTAATTCGCCTTTAAATCTAAGACCCCCAGAAGTTAGATTAAAATTTTAAAAAAAAATGTGCTGGATCAACTGTTCTCAACTCCTTTTGCCTCCTGGCGTCTGTCAATGAATGAGCTCCGCGGAATCCTCGGCTCCTTTAGACGGAAAACGTATTTGACGACGACTTTTCTGCACATGACGCAAGACGGAGGAATTGTGTGACAGCGGCCATAAATCGATATTTGCATGTGGGCGATGTGCAAACGTTGCTCCGACTTCTCTACAGGCACCGGAAACCCACGTGATATTTCACACACTCATACAGCGGGCGCGAAATAACCCTGAGCTTCGTTGACCGTTACAAATACGGGAGTCCAAGGGCGGGGAAGACCGCGAGTCGACAGGGCAAACGGAGAGACAACGCAGTCCTTCGTCTTGTACACTATCGGATGTGAAATTACGACGTCCGGCCTTTAAAAGTTCCTTTGGTTCACGAAATACAACCTGGTGTAGACGTCACGAAAGAGAACTCCGCCGACCGTGTCGAAATTCAAAAGGGGAAACACGTTTTCAGGTGCAGTGCGCATGCTCAGACACGCTGTCTTCTTTCTACCCCGTCTTACCGTGACGCAGACCAAGCTCAGAGTTATTCTGCGTCAACTGCTTCGTGCCTGCTGTGAGGACGCGTGTTCAAAACGAACGGACAAGCGCCACGGAAAGTACTCACGTACTCCGAGACGACATTTTTCACGACCTTAACAAAATGGCGTTCCAGGTTCATCCGTTTTAGACTCCGTTTTCCGCAGATTGCGGTCAGAAGTAACTCTGTCCATGGGGAGGGATCGACCCACTGATCATCCACCAACATCGTCGTCTTCTGCCTTACCGACTCACTGCGTAAGAAAAGTTGATCGAATTCCATCCCGGGAAACAATTTTGAAAATTGTTGGGCCTACGCAGGGCGTACAAGAAGCTTCTGACAAAAAGGATTTCGCTTTTACCGCTGACCTAGACACATTTTATTTTATGACGTGGCAGTCGCTGGAAGACTGAACTTTTAAATCCGCGTCTAAATAGATCCTGAATTCCACTTGTTTCGTCTCAGTCTTTCTGCTGTTATCCCCTTCATTTGTCTCCTTCCACATGTGCAATTGCTTCTCAGCACCACTCATTTCCCATAAGCGCTTTGCATAAAACGAGGTTATTCTGAGGAGCGTCCATTAGTCGCAGAGGTTTGCTAGCGCCGAATAATACTGAATTAACACCGCATCTACAGTTTTAAATCGATTAATGTCATCAGCCGAAAGCCTCTCTTTCACGGTCGAGTGTCGGGAAGGAAGCCCGCGTTTTCTTGAAGTCGGTCGTCACCTCTGACTGACGGAAGGAGGACAATTTACGACGTGCGCGTGTATACACCCATGTCGTCATTTGACAAATAAATCACTCCGGCCCCTGACAACCGCGTGTCATCATCGGACTCGCGGGTCTTGCCTGAGCCTGACATCGAACCGCGTGACCTGAATGCCAATCACGCCGCTGCTGTTCAACTGTTTTATGTCACTCGCCGCACGAATTTATATTTTTCTTCTTCCGCGTACAGTTCAGATGACACGATTAAGTCCGTGGTAAGTATCCTTAATCGAGAGCATGAAAGCCACTCAACTCGTCTCAACAAATCGACTGCTTTAAGGGGTAAACGGAAACGCCTAACCTAACCCGACCCCACGCAGTCGATTCGCATCTCCGAAACCACTGAAGGAAGACGACGCTCCATGCGGATGAGGAAAATCACTCGATCTGCGCCCATCACGTGAGCTACGCGTCCGACCAAAGTCACTTTTCTTTACTTCACAAAACGAATAAGAAGTGAATTGCACTCTGAATCGATCAGCGCTTCGGACAATCGCCTTTGACATTGTGTCTATTTTTTTTAATATTATACATCACACAGGCCAATTTAAAATCATTCTGTACACACGCTTACAGTTGAACACACCTCCTTCACTTGTCAAGAACTTCTTACACTGCGAGTACCAAATTCTGTCTCGTCAAGTTGGCAACACTGTCACGTGATTTTCGTCCGAATGGTTTGAATTTCTGCATTACGATTT